GGACATGTGTGGGACATGCTGGGACATGCTTGGAACATGTGTGGGACATGCGTGGGACATGCATGGGACACGTGTGGGACATGCGCGGGACACGTGGGACATGCTGGGACATGCGTGGAACATGCTGGGACACGTGTGGGACACGTATGGAACATGCTGGGACACGTGTGGGACATGTTGGGACATGTGTGGGACATGTGTGGAAGATGCTGGGACATGTGTGGGACATGTGTGGAAGATGCTGGGACATGTGTGGGACATGGTGGGACATGTGTGGAACATGCTGGGACATGTGTGGGACACGCGTGGGACACGCATGGAACATGCTGGGACACGTGTGGGACATGCTGGGACATGGGTTGGACCTTCGTTCATCACCTCACGTTACCGTGGAGACAGCTCGGTGCAGACGGCGGTACAGAGCCTGTGTGTGGACGCCATTAGTCTCCACACAGGACACATGAAGACAACAGGAAGTCAGTGCGGCACCCTCTGAGGCTGTGAGGCGTTCAGAGGTCACACTGTTATCTGGTTTATCACAGTGTTTCCCAACATGAGGCTCGTGGCCTCCTGCAGGTCCACAGGTCAGTCTGATCACATGACTCTCCTCCACGCTGTCACAGCCTCTGTGTGACACGTGGACCCCTCATGTTGCCACACAGCTGCCACTGCACACATCAGGTGTTCCATTGTGTCATTCTCATCAACACCACATGTTAAAAACAGCCTATGGGAACACAGACAGGGGTCAAAGGTCAGATGTCAGTGTGACCTCAGTAAACATGTTTTCGACTATAACTGAAGATTTGATATGTTTATTCTGACCAAATGTGACACAAATGTGTAACAGGATAAAATAATGTAGGTCAGAAGGTCAAAGGTCAGCATCATCGTGACATTGTCATGTTCTGAGGTTATATCTGAGGAGAGAGGAGGGGTGAAGTGAGACTGTGCTGATTGGTCGGATGTTGCGTGTAAAGCGTCCCTGTCTGGACACACATGGATGTAAAGTGTGCCCTGATTGGTCACTGCAGAGCAGAGGGTGAGAGACTTTTATACTGATGCTGACTCGTCCCAGCACAAAACAGGAAGTCAATGTTGCCGACAGCGACCACTGACCTTCCTGTTAACGTTAATGTGGCTCTGATCTAATCACCTCAGAGCGCTCCCATTGGCTCGTTCTGGCCCTGTAGCCTCGGGGCCCTGGAGCCAATCAGATTAGAGCAGGGCATCTGCTCAGTGATGTCAGGCTGTTACCATGGTAACCGTGGTTACAGTTGTCGTCCTTGTCCTCAGTGTTCAGTCAGTCTGTGTCTCTGGCGGAATCAGCAGCACCTTGAGTGAAGAAGCGTCTCTGAGGTAAGACGGTGTGTTCATGTGTTCACATGTGATGGGGAGGAGGAGGAGGGGGAGGAGCCAAACCTGGGTGACAGGTGAACACCTGTCTGATGAAGACAGGTGTTCACCTGAAGGTTAACTGTTCTTCTGTTTGAACTTTGACACCAGTTACAGTGAGATTAGTCAGGCTGTGTGTGTGTGTGTGTGTGGCGGTGGATCAGAGCAGAGACTGGCAGGCGCTAAAGTGTCAGCTGATAAAAACAGTTTTTAACAGATCTCCTGAGAGGAGGAGTTAAATTCTACAAATCAATCACCATATAGATGACGGACGATTTTTGGAGCCAGACGTGACCATTTTTGGGTGAGAGGGTGGGGCTGACGGGGACACTGTCAGCAGAAAGCCTGTCACTCAAAGAGGCCCCGCCCCCTCAATGATGCGTCACTTTAAGCCTTTATGAAGGAGACGGCTGTTTGCTTCTTCCTGTTTAAATAGGTCCCAAATTAAAAACCATAATAATTAGAACACAGCAGAGCGTCTGTCACCGTCACGTCACCACCACCATTATCATCATCATCATCATCATCATCATCATCATCATCATCATCATCACGTCAGGACCTTGTGGTGCAAACGTAGGATCTCGCCAGAATTACGCCTTAACTACCCTGCAGCACTTCCCCTGCCTACCCCCCAAAGCATCATGGGAACTGTAGTTCCAAAACCTGATATATCTTGTGTGTTGTTTAGATCCTCTGCAGCATGGACCACAGCGCCATGGACCACTCCCACCATCATCATCCCACCACGGCCCCGCCCACCACAGGAGGACATGACCACGGAGGAGGAGGCGGAGGAGGGCACAATGGGGGCCATGGAGGACACGGGGGGATGGTAAGAAACAGTAGCATCATGATGTTAGCGTGCTAGTGTGACGTCCACATATTGTGTGGCGCTAACATGCTAATGTCCTGGTTGTTGTTGCCAAGGCGATGACCTTCTACTTTGGCTACAAGAACGTGGAGCTGCTGTTCACCGGCCTGCTCATCAACTCACCTGGAGGTACTGATATATTTATTAATTTTTTCTCCATTGTTTATTTACATTTTTTATAATGTTTATATTTAAAGGTTTTTTTTCTATTAAATATTTACATTTTTATACTTTCCATATTTAGATTTTTTCTACTGAATATATACAGTACAGGCCAAAAGTTTGGACACACCTTCTCATTCAATGTGTTTTCTTTATTTTCATGACTATTTACATTGTAGATTCTCACTGAAGGCATCAAAACTATGAATGAACACATGTGGAGTTATGTACTTAACAAAAAAAGGTGAAATAACTGAAAACATGTTTTATATTCTAGTTTCTTCAAAATAGCCACCCTTTGCTCTGATTACTGCTTTGCACACTCTTGGCATTCTCTCCATGAGCTTCAAGAGGTAGTCACCTGAAATGGTTTCCACTTCACAGGTGTGCCTTATCAGGGTTAATTAGTGGAATTTCTTGCTTTATCAATGGGGTTGGGACCATCAGTTGTGTTGTGCAGAAGTCAGGTTAATACACAGCCGACAGCCCTATTGGACAACTGTTAAAATTCATATTATGGCAAGAACCAATCAGCTAACTAAAGAAAAACCAGTGGCCATCATTACTTTAAGAAATGAAGGTCAGTCAGTCCGGAAAATTGCAAAAACTTTAAATGTGTCCCCAAGTGGAGTCGCAAAAACCATCAAGCGCTACAACCAAACTGGCACACATGAGGACCGACCCAGGAAAGGAAGACCAAGAGTCACCTCTGCTTCTGAGGATAAGTTCATCCGAGTCACCAGCCTCAGAAATGGCAAGTTAACAGCAGCTCAGATCAGAGACCAGATGAATGCCACACAGAGTTCTAGCAGCAGACCCATCTCTAGAACAACTGTTAAGAGGAGACTGCGCCAATCAGGCCTTCATGGTCAAATAGCTGCTAGGAAACCACTGCTAAGGAGAGGCAACAAGCAGAAGAGATTTGTTTGGGCCAAGAAACACAAGGAATGGACATTAGACCAGTGGAAATCTGTGCTTTGGTCTGATGAGTCCAAATTTGAGATCTTTGGTTCCAACCGCCGTGTCTTTGTGAGACGCAGAAAAGGTGAACGGATGGATTCCACATGCCTGGTTCCCACTGTGAAGCATGGAGGAGGAGGTGTGATGGTGTGGGGGTGTTTTGCTGGTGACACTGTTGGGGATTTATTCAAAATTGAAGGCACACTGAACCAGCATGGCTACCACAGCATCCTGCAGCGACATGCCATCCCATCCGGTTTGCGTTTAGTTGGACGATCATTTATTTTTCAACAGGACAATGACCCCAAACACACCTCCAGGCTGTGTAAGGGCTATTTGACCAAGAAGGAGAGTGATGGAGTGCTGCGGCAGATGACCTGGCCTCCACAGTCACCGGACCTGAACCCAATCCAGATGGTTTGGGGTGAGCTGGACCGCAGAGTGAAGGCAAAGGGGCCAACAAGTGCTAAACACCTCTGGGAACTCCTTCAAGACTGTTGGAAACCATTTCAGGTGACTACCTCTTGAAGCTCATGGAGAGAATGCCAAGAGTGTGCAAAGCAGTAATCAGAGCAAAGGGTGGCTATTTTGAAGAAACTAGAATATAAAACATGTTTTCAGTTATTTCACCTTTTTTTGTTAAGTACATAACTCCACATGTGTTCATTCATAGTTTTGATGCCTTCAGTGAGAATCTACAATGTAAATAGTCATGAAAATAAAGAAAACGCATTGAATGAGAAGGTGTGTCCAAACTTTTGGCCTGTACTGTACATTTTTTTTATATGATTTTATTTCAATTAAAAATTTACGTTTTAATTTTTATGTTTTTCTATTAAATATGACCATTTCTATACTTTCTCTATTTAGATTTTTATTGAATATTCACATTTTTATTCTTTCTCTATTAAGATTTTTCTTCTATTGAATATTTACATTTTTATATGGATTTTCTTCTATTGAATATATAGATTTTCATACTTTTTATATTAAGATTGTTTTTCAATTTAGTATTTACATTTTTTTTATATTTTTTATATTAAATATTAAAATTTGTATATTTTCTGTATTTAGCTTTTTTTCCTACTGAATATAAACTTTTTTTATACTTTATATTCAGATTTTATTTCAATTGAATATTTACATTATAGTTTTTTTTGTTAATTTTGGTTTTATTTCTATTGAATATTTACGTTTTAATTTTTATATTTTATATTAAATATATGCATTTTTATACTTTTTATTTGAAGATTTTTTTCTATTGAATATGTAGATTTTCATTCTTTTTATATTCAAATTTTATTTCAATTAAATATTTAATTTTTTTCATACTTTTTATATTTATGTCTTTTTTATTTATATTTTTCTACTTTCTGTACTTGTATTTCTATATTTTTATTTACATTTCACACCAGCTCTCTGTTTGTCAACATTAACCCCTCCCCTCTCCTCCTCTCGTCCAATCAGAGATGGTCGGGGCGTGTATCGGAGTCTTCCTATTGGCCGTCCTGTACGAGGGGTTGAAGATAGGTCGTGAGGCGCTGCTGCGTCGCAGTCAGGTCAACGTCCGCTACAACTCTATGCCACTCCCAGGGGCTGATGGGACGGTGCTGATGGAGACACACAAGACAGTCGGGTAGGTGGCTAACGCTAAAGCTTAAAACAATGCATTCACAACAGGAAGTGATGACATGATAGTGACATCACTGTCATGTGATCATCAGTCATGTAAATGTTGTGTTTACTGTCAGCTCAATGACTGAGGGGGCGGAGCTTCCTGTTCGACCAAAGTCCTGCCTCACAGGACTCTCTCCCAGGTAACAGTAGAGTTCTGGTCCTGGTCTTGGTTGTGGTCCTGGTCCTGGTCCTGGTTCAGGTCTTGGTCTTGGTCCTGGTTCTGGTTCTGGTCTTGGACCTGGTCCTGGTCCTGGTTCTTTCCCTGCTCTGTTTGAGATGCTCTGATCAGATCAAACTGATAATTGATTAATTCTGATGATGCATAATTAATGAGCATCAGAGGATTCTGATTGGAGCGTTTCACTGACGATGATCACTGTGATGTCAGTGGAACGTTTCTCTTTAAGTTCACACTGAAAGTGTGTGGCAACCTGGTGAAACATTCTAACCCTGAGGCTAATGCTAAGCTAACGCTAATATTAAATTTAACTTAAGATTGAAAACACCATTGAAGAACAGTTAACAGTAATGCTAACTCTGCTCAGTGCATTTAATTTTCCTCATTAGCACTGGTGCTAACAACAACACTGCTAACGTAAAAATGATAGGTTGAAGATACCGGTGGTGTAGAGCTACGTCGTGTTTTAAGATGGAGAAATATGAAGGTTTGGTATTAACACTGGAAGTGACAGAGCTAACTGTTTGTAACAGTAAATATGTTGCTAACACTGGCAAACAAGAAAACTAACGCAAACACTGCTACGAATGCTGAACCTAGCTAGCAAGTTAGTTTAATGTAATACTGCACTGTGTTTGTGTTGATAGCTTTAATGCTAATATTTAAATGTACTGCAGTGCATCCATACTGGCACTGGCTAATGGTGCTAATGCTACCCCTCTGTATAAAAATTCTTTATGTAGAACAGTGATGCTAATGCTAACACTGATAGCAGTTGTTAATGGTGCTAATGCTACACATCTATAATTAAATTCTCTAGTGCTAATGCTAACAGTAAAGCTAACCCCTCATCTCGTCCTGTCAGGCAGCGGATGCTAAGCCCCGGCCACTTCCTGCAGACCCTGTTGCACATCGTTCAGGTGGTCGTCAGCTACTTCCTGATGCTCGTCTTCATGACCTACAACGCTTACCTCTGCATTGCTGTGGCAGCCGGCGCTGGCATGGGCTACTTCCTGTTCAGCTGGCGAAAGGCAGTGGTTGTCGACATCACAGAGCACTGCCATTAACGAGTGCAGCAGTTAGCATCTGATCGGGAGGTTTGATTTATTGCTGATCACAATCAATAAAACGCTAACAAACATTGTCGATCCATGTTAGCATGCTAGCCAACCTGGAACTACAAACCCCAGAATGTTAGCGGCTAATTGAGTTAGCACAGACACTAAATTACAAATGTTACTCGATAACCATAGTAACACCCTGTTGTAGGTTAACATGCACACTAACGTTTGTAGTTAGCCAAGTAAATCCTTGTTTCACAGAAAATGACAAACACTTGTTTTTCGTTTCTGTTTTTGTCATAATTATGAAAATTGTTTTTTTTTTTGTTTGTTTTTTGTTTTTTCTGTGAACTGTGTGCTGGCGACCAATCACAGCTCAGATCACCTCAGAAGGTTCTGATTGGCCAAATCACTTTCTTTTATTTCCTTTTTAATGCCATGACAACTGGAAGGTTAGCGCTAGCTGCTATTAGCCAAAGTGTTAGCATACGTAGCTTCCGTGTACACTGTATGGAGACAGATTCATGTCAGTATTATTTCTGTCAGCAGATTGATGTGCCGTGTGTCAATGTGTAATCTGTAAATGTAAAACAACTTTAGCAAATACCAAAAAAAGATTTCTAAACCCCCTCAAAATATTTTCACATCTGCAAATACACAAATAAATTTCCCCCAAAAGTGTGCAGAAATTGATTCACAAATAAAAACTGGATTCACAGAAATCTGTGTGAACGTCATTAAAAATATTCACTAATGATTTTCATTCATTTGTGAATTAATTAAATGTATTCACAGTTTTTTTTTTTTTTGAGATTTTGTTTTTTATTTGTGAAATAGTTTGGTAAGTTTTACAAATCTTGTTTTTGCTTCACATAAACGCATGGATCTTTGATCACACAAACAATATTGACACAAATGTGTCTCCCTATCATTTACTCTGTAGTTTGCAGCTCGTTAGACGAGCCACGTCTCTTTAAACAGTGTTTAAACTTTTATTTAGAGTATAATTTATTAGCGACTAGATGCTTTACAGAAGTTTTAATTTAGATTTTTTGATTTAAATCACATTATTATGAAACTAACTCTGTTTGATTTTTGTTGCAGTTAAAATGAAAAAAAAAAATCTCCAGTAAACATCGAGCGGCTCGTTGAGTTGATCAGTTTATATTTACAGAATCACATTTTTAAAAAGTTACGTACAGAAAATGATTTTCAAAAATTTCACAATAAATTTGTTGTTGAGATTTTTGATTTTGAATACAAAATAAATTCTCTCACAGTTTTCTTTTTAACTTGTTGAATCCAGTTTAAAGTTCATCAATGAAATGATCCTTTTTTTTAAAGAGCCATTTTTCCAGGTTTTCTGTGGGCCTTAAACGCACCACCTGTTGCCTTACTGTGGCTGACAAACGTCCTGATGTCCTACTGACTGGAGGCCAGTGTCGACACTCTGCTGGTTTCACTTTAAAACAACTTGAAAACGGTTGTGTCTTCACCTAAGGAGACAAGTGTTGTTGTCGGAGGACAGTGTCCACCGGAGACAAACGATGATTCGTTGGGAAAGACCAAAAATAGAGGTCAAACTTGTGACCGCTCCCTAACTGTGATGATCGTTTGTTTCTGGCTGACATGGACCTCCGTACGTGTCGTTGTCATTTATTGTGATTTTTGTTTTAATTCACACTGAGAGGTCGGCGCAGTTTACTTTCTGGACCAATCAGGTTGCGGGGACAGATTGCAGTTACTGGATTTTATTCTGAAAGTACTTGTGTCTGTATGTTTGGCCGTCCTGTCAGACTTTACTCGGGGCTGCGGCTCCTCTCGGTGTGAATCGTGATGTGTGAAGGAAACTGTTTGTCTGAAGATGTAAAATGCTGGAATCACTGAAAATAAAGTTTATTAAGAAACTTGTCATCTCGTCTGTACGACACAAACTCACCTCAGACAGTAGAGATCATTAAAAAAACACCACAGATGGTTTTAATTTATTTAATTGTTGAAGACAGGTGTTCACCTGAAGGTTCACCTGTTCCTCTGTTTTAAGGGACTGTTCATTACTTATGAGGGGGAGACGTGTCAAATTATTTTTAAGGACCGAGGAGGGACTTGTGTTTTTTTTAATGTTGGCCAAGGGACGGGGCTTACAGATTTAAATGGTTGAATTTTGTATTGATTTTACAGCCGAATATTAAATAAAACATTCTGATTGTTAAAAGACAATCACATAAAATCACATCACCTATCAGCCAGAAACTTTAAAATCAGAAATTATTGTTGGAAATTGCTGACGGTCCTTGGACGCATCATGTGTGATGAACGCTTCCATCAGAAAAGAAAAACAAAAAACAAATCTGATCTTTAAACAGTGATATTTGATCCAAATCACTTTATTCTACGTCTCATTTAAAATTTGTCCAAAAAACAAAAACTAAGACTTTTTTCAACTTTTAAACATCAAAAATTTAATAAGTCATTAATGGTAGAGGGAGACTCAGGCATTTTATTAGCTTCGTGCTTTTATTTTGACGGAAAGGCGCATTCATCAAATTCCGGATTGTCTCTCGCCCTGGTTCCGGTTCCTTACCAAAACGGCCACTAAACGGCCCCAGACTAGCCAGAACACAATCCATTCAAAAGGTGAGCTCCCTCCTGCATTAAGGCAAGGAGTAATCACATTAATTCCCAAACCAAAAAAAGACAGCTTACACATAGGAAATTGGAGGCCTATCAGTCTGCTGAACAATGATGCAAATTTATTTTATTTTTTGCTAGGAGGTTAAACATGGATTAGATCAAATAATAGATACAGAGCAATCTGGTTTTATTCACAAAAGACATATTAGCAATAACATTCGACTGATACTGGATATGATAGATTATCGTGATTTAATACCAGATGAAAGTTTTATCTTATTTATTGATTTCTACAAAGCCTTTGACACAATTGAACACGAGTTTATTTTTAAAACCATCTCTTTTTTGGTTTTGGAGAGTTTTTCTGTAATGCAATTCAAACTCTATATAAGAACTCTTCCAGCTCTGTAAAACTGAAATGTGGCACATCAAGTCGATTTGACATTCATTGTGGTGTTAAACAGGGTTGTCCAGTATCTCCTTTTTTGTTTATATTAGTAACCCAAACAATGGCCACTCATATAAAAAAATCACCCTTCATGTGTATGAATGCAGTAGGCAAGAACTTAAAATTATGTCAACTGGCAGACGATACTGCAATTTTTCTTAGAGACCAGAATCAAATTTTAGAAGCTGTGGCTTGTATAAATGCATTTTCTGATGTTTCTGGTTTAAAGATGAACTTGGATAAATCTGTCTTATTTCCAATTAAAAGTTGTAATTTGTCAAGCTATCATGGGATTCCAATTAAAGAAAAGGTAACCTACCTTGGGGTTGTTATCTGCAATGATGCGGAACAGTGAAGTAAAGTCAATTTTGATCCCATTATTGAAAAAACAAAAATCAGAATTGAACTCATGGTTAATGAGAGATATATCCTTATTTAGAAGGGTCTTGCTATCAAAAACAGAAGGTATATCTAGATCTGTCTATGTATCATTATCACTTAATGTCCCAACAAATGTTATTAAACAACTGGATAAGATGCTGTATGACTACATTTAGAGGAAAAAAACCCATTATCTCAAAAAAGAAACAATCAAAGGCAGTAGGGAACAAGGTGGTCTTGAGGACTTGGACTTGAGTTCATTAAATAATACATTTAAAGTTAAATGGCTTATTGAATTCCTAAAGAATCCTGACAGTATATGGTATGCTTTCCCATCATATTTATTTAATTCGATTGGTCTCCATTGATAAAATCCCAGTTAGTTTAGCTAAGTTTCACAAGCAAGCTCTCTTAGTGTGGTTATTAGTTTATAAGCACACCTTCAGTCCTCATCTGTACTATGTTTGGAATAACAAGGATATTCTACACAAAAGAAAATCCCTGTTTTATCGCTCATGGTATGACAATGGAATTTTGCTTGTATGCCAATTATTAAATAAGAATGTTGTGTTAGTGTCAGATTCAGAATTTATTCAGAAATTCAAGATAACAATCACACCTAAAGAATACGCTGTTATCTTCAATGCAATTCCTGCCGGTTCACTTCTATTTTTAAAGAACTGTAACCTCACAGAAACCAACTCATTTAGTTCTAGGCAGATTTTTGTTGGAGGTATCAATATTCAAGATAAACCTTGCAGTAACAGACACATTAGAAACGCACTGAACTACACTGTAGCCCCTGCAGCGAAATTCTTCTGGTTGTCTAATATGAGCAGTTTACAGTGGAAAAAAGCCTGTAGTGTTTTAAATAAATATTGCATTGGTAATAAAGTGAAAGAAGTATCTTACAAAGTGTTACACTGAATTTATCCCGCTAAGGAGGTCTTGGAGAGATTTAAGTTAAACATAGACTATTCTTGTACTTTCTGTAATGTTGACAAAGAAACAATATTTCATCTGCCGGAACACCACCAGTCTCCCGGAAGTAAAGAAGTAGAACTTCCGGGTAGCAGGTGTATGTTGTTTTGCTGCGGGTCAAATCAATCAGGGACGAATATTCCTCCTGCCGTTATTTTCCCGGGACGTGGGTGTGTTCATGTTGATACCCTGTGACATCATTTAGCCGGGTCTCGCTCACCGTCCTCCCGCAGTTCGCCCCGTACCGACCCTCTCATGGCCTCCAGGCGGCCGGACAGCTTCGACGGGCTCGGCTACCGCAGCCGCGACGACCCGCTATACGGAGCGAGCTACCCGGTCAGGAGCGCCGGAGGCCCCGCGGAGCTGCAGCACCACCACTGGGTCACCACGCCGCCGGACATCCCTGGCAGCCGCAACCTGCACCACGGAGAGCGGACACCTCAGTATGACGAACCGCTCGGAGAGCCCGGAGGTGCCGGAGGTCCCGGAGCCGGCTGGGATGCTCCGCAACCGGGCGTACCGCCTGCTGGTGGGTCGGTTTGAAGGGACGGAGGATGATTAGCAGCAGGCTAATGCTACAATACAAAGCGAATAGAACAGGCTAACGGCTTCACGGCTAACTGCTAATGAGCTAACGTTAATTAGCAGGCTAACATGTCAACTGGTGGTTAGCTTTGATGCTAACGACAGAATATAAACAACGTAAATCAGACTGGTGGTTAGCTTTGATGCTAACGACAGAATATAAACAACGTAAATCAGACTGGTGGTTAGCTTTGATGCTAACGACAGAACTCTATGCAGGAGGCTAGTTGTTTGCAAGGTAGCATTAGCATGATATGAAGTACATGTTCTAGCTAATGCGGGTAACTGACTTGATCTGTTATTGATCTGTTATTAATGCTGATGTGTTTTTGTATTTCAGAACAGCTCAATCGATTTGCAGGATTTGGAATCGGACTCGTGAGGTTTGAATTAAATTATAATAAATATTAAAGTAATAATTATCTGACAGCAGCTGATGAAGGACAGAGGTGTCAGTCAGTCCCAGACTAATGTCTGCTGAGCCTGACAGGCAGCACTCAGGGAAGAAATTCAACAGCAATGATTTTCTAAATAAACGACTGTTAATAAACCTGTCTGTCTGTCTGCAGCCTCTTCACAGAGAACGTCCTGGCTCACCCCTGTATCGTCTTCCGCAGACAGTGTCAGGTATCAACTCAGTTTCTGATCAGTAACCAATCAGTTAGCGAGTCATCAGTCTGTCCTGTTGCCTGTTTAACCCTTCGTGGACCTGCAGCCGTGATGGAGAATGATTATTTACATATTAAACATTATATTTACACGTCATTCAGTTGGTACAGATTCATCATAATAATCAATGTTTCACCTCAAGTTCTTTGCTCTCTGATTGGCTGTTTGTCTCAGGTGAACTACCACGCTCGCTGTTACCACCTGACCCCATTCAGCGCTGTCGCTGTAATGTACACCATCACCAAGGCTCAGGTGAGACAGTCTGATACATACAGTCATGATTTCACCACAGAGACACATGTTACTAAGACTCCGAGGGACATTCACACCTGAGTCAGAGTATACATAATTTTTACATAACAAAACAACCAGGAACTGGAATCAGCACCCAATTGCTGTGTGACTCCGCCCACCAGTCCAGTGTCCAGAGTAACCAATTCAGTATCTGACCAAATGTCTCCCCTTCTGTTCCTGAGATATGATGTTAAAACATGATGATGTCACAGTCAAGCTGACCTTTGACCTTTTGACCTTCATTGTTTTATCCTGTTAGACATTTGTGTCAAGTTTGGTCAGAATTAGTGAATGAATTCTTCAGTTATGGACCTTTGACCTTCAACCACCAAACTCTTATCAGTTTATCGTTGAGTCCAAGTGGACGTTTGTGTCATGTTTAAAGACTCTCCCTCAGAACGTTCTTGAGATTTTACTTTCACAATAATGTTACAACCCAAAAACATAATACAAATTATAAAATGAGTAAGAATGTTTAAAGAATAGACCCTTTTACTGTCAGTAACCAGGATGATTTTTTGGTGGGCGGGGCTTAGCTGGAGGCAAAACAGTTCTCCACAGACATTAGCTAGCGCTAGCTAACAAGTTGTGTTGTCTTGTTTTAGACGATGGAGGAAGATGATGTGAGTGGTGCGTTCAGAAACACTCATTGTGAGTGTGGGAGCGCACTCTGACACAAACTGGAGCGTTGATAAATTGGGAGCGCTGTCTGAATGTAGCGTTGGGTTATCCAGAGCAGCGCACTCTCAGAGTGGCAGAGCGCACTCTGGACACTCTGTCTGTGGAGACGGAGCAGCAGAGCGCCGAGCGAAGTGAATGTGTGATTAACTTAACCGTTGGTTCATTCATGTAGAAATATAACGCTGCGTTTCTTCCACCAACAGGGCTCTCATTTTAGTGTAGAGCGTCAGACTGAATTTACCAACGCACCATGTCAGGTCACTCACTCTCCGGGACCGCCAGTGTTACTTGAATAAGTAAACACTGACCAACGGGACCAGACTGGCCGACCCGTATGCTCTCACTCAGTGGATGGATGATGTCACAGGAAGCCAATCTTACAAAGGAGGACCACACTTGTTTGTTTTGCTATGGAAGCTAACGTTAGCTAATGTGCTAAAAAGTTAGCGTTGCAGAGAAATCCAATATTCCTCTTAATCCCTCCCCAGTTTCTGATGAGGTGGACATGATAACCCTTAATACACATAACCTTATTCATCCCTACAACAGGAAATACTTTTTCCCTAACCTGATATGAAGTGTGCGCTGCACATGTGAGCATTTTTGATGATGGCCTCCGTCCAGTCCTTTGGTCTTATCACATTTAACCATAGTTGTCTTTGTTTTTGTTGACGGGCAGTGGCGGCTGGTTTTGAGCCATGACTCCTTCTATTCTGGCTCCCAATAACACAACAAGACAAACACATTTTAACACTCCTATGGAGCCTACAGCCCTGTGGGGGAGAGGCAGCTGCACCTCCAGCTGATAACATGATGTCATCGTGACGTCACGGTGACATCGGCCCTGAAAGGATCTATAATAAAATATTTAAATTATGTATCAAACTAGCCAGAATCTGACCACAGATCAATAATCTCTTGTTGTTGTATTCAGGGTCCGAAGGCTCTGTGGAAGGGGATGGGCAGCACCTTCATCGTTCACGGCATCACCCTTGGAGCAGAGGGCATCATCAGCGAGTTCACACCATTACCACGGTAACCACAGATCACAGTATGACTGTAGCATGACTGTAGCATGATTCTAGTATGACTGTAGCATGATTCTAGTATGACTGTGGCATGACTGTGGCATGACGGCTGCAGTAGCTCAGTCCATAGGGACCTGGGTTGGGAACCGGACAGTCGCCTGTTAAAGTCTCCGTCCGGACCAAAATATGGAGCGTGGACTGGAGAGGTGCCAGTTCACCTCCTGGGCACTGCCGAGGTGCCCCTGAGTAAGGCACCGATTCCCCCAACCGCTCGGAACGCCTGTCATGGGCAGCCCACTCTGACATCTCTCCCTTAGTGCATCTCCCTCACTTAGTGCATGTGTAAGTCTAGTTTGTGCCTGTGTGTGTTTGGACCAGTGTGTAATTGACAACAGAGTGAAAAATTGAATTTCCCCTGGGGATTAATAAAGTAAATATATATATGTGTGTGTGTGTGTGTGTGTGTGTGTAT